CAGTTTTAAAGCTCATTAGGTAAAGTGTACATAAAACACCGAGCAGGAATTTTTCCTCAATTATTTAGCTAACATATAAGACTCTAGGAATGTATTTTCTATCATTACTTTCTAATTATTTTTACTTTCTTAAAAGGAGGTGAATATGCATACACGCAATATCATTTAGAATAGACCTTAAAATACAGATGGACATGAACATACAAGGAACCACAGTGAAAGTAGCATGATATAGAGGTGTTATTGAAATTGATTTGAACAAAAGTGGTAAGTTACTGGCTTCAGACATATTACTGGCATTAAAAGAGGGCTGTTGAGAATCTTTGGTGTAATTTATCAAGTTTAAACCCAATTCTTAATGGATACATCAAATAATGTTGGAGATGAACAAATATAAAAGGTCAATAATGTATTTATCAATGAAACACAATAACAATCAAATGAGCTGACAAAGTGCATTGAACAGGACTAAAGATGAATATTCTAAGAACTGGTGGAAAACATGTTTTCAAATGTTCAATTGAAACCATGCTTGAAGTTCCACATAAAACTGCCTCCGAGGCTCTTCCTCACTGACAGGCGTGTGAGTTAAGTAGCCTGGTGCTACTCATCAGACATATTTGGTAAGTCATTAACCTCTCTGTCCTTGTCTGTGAAACAGGGTAATGGCTAAGAAAAAGAGGTTATCATAATACTCCAGATACTTACAATACCTGGTACAGAGCAGGCAATACCCACACAATCTAGTTTGTTATCACTTGTCAACTGTATATGCCAAATGTATTGGTGATAATTCAATGACTATAGGGGAACAATGGTTTAGTAGAACACACACTTAACATGAGGGAAAGGAAAATGATTTTTCTAGAACATAAAGAAAACCTAATCCCAGCACTCAGGAAGCTGTGGCAGGGAGATTGTGAATTTGAGTTTAGGGTGAGCTACTATGTAAGACACTGTCTTGTGCCCCTTTCCTAAGGAAAAAAAAATCCACAAACCAACCAAAAACAGAAACTCCAAAGCAAAGCAAACAATAAGACAGGTGTGCACACATACATGCGCAGGCACCCAGATACAGGTGCGTGTGCGCGCACACACACAGACACACACAGAAGAAATACTTTCAAAACTGCAGAGTATTTCCCTTAGTCTACAAACTTAGATGATATTTAATATATCCTTTCCAAGTAGCAACCTCAACTATTACTTGAACACAAGATTACATAGCTATGTGAAATTTATTTCTTGGCAAATCCTGTTTATTCAGAGATACTAAAGTGATTTGACTAGTGAAGACATTCTATACAATGGAACTATGAATATTGCCATACTTTTCTCTGAAGGACACAACTGTCCAAAATCTAAGAAAGGAAAACAATGTTTTAAAATCTAAGTATTCAGTGATTAGACAATCATGCAATAAGTCATGTTCTCTTTTTTAGATTCTCCTGAATTTACTTAAAAATTTTTTTTTGTTGTTGTTGTGGGGCCTGAACTTTGGGCCTGGGCAATGTCCCTCAGCTCTTCAGCTCAATGTGAGCGCTCTATCACTTGAGCCACAGTGCCACTTCCAGCTTTTTCTGCTTATGTGGTGCTGAGGAATTGAACTCAGGGCCTCATGCATGCAAGGCAAGCACTCTACCACTGAGCCACCTTCCCAGCCCCATGAATTTACTTAAATTTGAAAAGGGCATTGTTGGGATTTCTTTTTTTCTGGGCTAACATTAAAATGTCTTATGGTAACCTCAAATGAGAAAGAAGATTTCTGTAGCAGAATTATCTTGAATATTTAAAACATTGTCACTTTAGCTTGTCGGTAGAGTGCTTCGTTTTAACATTTACATGCATTAAGAGCAAATCATCAGCTGACAATGACTTTGTGCCATGATCTACAGTCAGCAATGTCTGCAATAGATACAGGTAGCCTTGTTTTGGATGGAAATATGGAATCAGTGTAAGCAAAATTCTAGTAAAGAGCTTTGAGATTTATATGAATGTTCTCAAGCATTACATATGCCCCAATGAGCCAATTTTGGAGCTATTGGAGTGTGACAGTTATCCATAAGGGTTATCAAATAGCTTGAGAAATAAGGTACATGGCATTTGGATGAGGTATTTTTCCAAGGTAAAGCTTTTGCTATTCCATCAGTAGCTCCTTTGGGCTTTCTCAGTTCTGGGAGGAGTAACTAATGTTTCACATTCCTTAACGATCAGATTTGAGTCTCAATTCATTTAGCAATTCTTCTGCAAAAATGTAAAGAATTATTTCAAATCCAGAGGATGATAATTTAGGGAAAAGATCAAGGATAAGTTTAGTTTTATCATTAGAAAATAACAAAATTAAAATTACACATACACACACTCATTCTTTTGCAAATGAAAACTGCTAAGCTCACTTAAGCATGCTACAAATCTAAAATATGGAATTAAGTAGTACACCGGTTTTTATGTATTTACACAAAGGTAGCATATTAATTTTTCTTATAACTAGCCTGAAAAAACTCAATGTAATGAAACTAGATGAGAGACCTAATTTCAGGCCTTTTCCATAGAAATGGAAACATGTATTTAAGCATTACAGTTAAAAAGTACATACCAGGGGCTGGGAAGGTGGCTCAGTGGTATAACGCTTGCCTTGCATGCATGAGGCCCTGGATTCGATTCCTCAGTACCACATAAGCAAAAAGAAAAAAGCTGAAGTGGCACTGTGGTTCAAGTGGTAGAGTGCTAGCCTTGAGCTGAAGAGCTGAGGGACAGCGCCCAGGCCCAGAGTTCAGGCCCCACGACTGGACCCCTTCCCCCCCAAAAAGTGCATACCACATGCAGAATGCCTTTCAACTTGTTCTCTGTACTTGCCCCAAAGGTATCAGCTGGGAGTTTGTTGAAAAGAAAGCAAAAAAGAGAGGAAGGAAAGAAGGAAGGAAAGAAGGACAGGGAGGAAGTGAGGGAGGAAAGAAATGCAGAGCTTCAAGCCAATCTCACCCTATCCCTGACCCTCTGTATATGAACAACATGGGTTAGATGTCCAGATGATCTAACTTTAAAGGCCCACTCTAAGACAGTGACTGTGAGGACAAAGAACATGTGTGCAGAATCCGAGGGGATTCAGCTGAAAACACACATGCCAAGGCTGGGACTGTTAGAAGAGCAGTCATCTCTACTGAAAAGAAGGTTCACAGTGATTCTGAACAGCCTCCTGGTTAAAAAACCATCCTTTGAGGCAGGTGCTAGTAATTCATACCTATAATCCTAGATACTCAAGAAGCTGAGATATGAAGATCATAGTTTAAAGCTAGCTAGTTTAGAAAGCCTGACTCTTATCTCCAATTCACCAGCAAAATAGCTGGGGAAAGTGTAAGGCCCTTAGTTTGAGACCCAGTACCAGCACACACACATACCCACACAGAAAATATCCTTAAGCCTGATGTGGTGGTCCTATCTGGGTAATTCCAGCACTAAGGAGTCTGTGGCAGGAGGCTCACTCCTTTGAGGTTATCCTGAGTTACAGAGTGAGACCCTAACTCAAAAAAAAAAAAGGAAAAAAAATTAAAATCCATCCTAACCAAAATCTCAAGTATATTTTTCCTTAATGTCTATTGCCTATAACCTTAACCTCATTGGTGGTCCACTTTGTTTCACAACCCAGACAGATGAGAAAAACAGGGGTGCTCACTTCCTCTCACTAAAAATCAAATGACTCCTGATTGAATTCTTTTCCATCCAAAAGAGAGCTTCTGCTAGGTCAAAGTTTTCAAGAGCAGCCCAACTGGAAATCATGGTGGTCTCTTTCTACCTTCTCAAGTTAACAGCTCCTGTCTGTACTCTTAATTAAAAACTTTAAATTCAACTTACATCCAATTATTTATACTTGTTACATAATGTTCAGGAAAGAACATAATAAAAATAGGTAACTTTTTTAAAAAGCTAAGGAAATATAAGATTCATGTCTTACGTAAGCTGGTTACAGTTAGCCTATTTTTTCACTTAAACATTTAATGACATTCATGATTACTCATACATAGTTCATAAACAAGCATCTTAGTAAAATTACTTTCAGTATATATCTCTGACTTCAATAAGTAAAAACAAAAACAAAAACAGGTTTCTAACCATATGCTTGTCATGTTTAACGAAAGTCAAGATTTCACACAGACTATTTTCAGAGGTGATTTTGTTCTGACAAAAACATGAAAAATTAAGCTGGATGCTGGTGGCTCATGCCTGTAATCCTAGCTACTCAGGAAGCTGAGTTCTGAGGATCATGGTTCAAAGCCAGCCCAGACAGGAAAAGTCCATGAGACTCTTATCTCCAGTTAACTACCAGAAACTTGGAAGTGGCACTGTGGCTCAAGTGGTAGAGCACTAGCCTTGAGCTGAAGAGCTGAGGGACAGTGCCCAGCCCATGAGTTCAAACCCTACAACAAACAACAAAAAACCCATGTGGGGGGGGGACTTTTATTTAATCAAATTTTAAGTTCATTATTTTATGAAACAGATTTTTGACTTACTCATTTGTTAGATGAACTAACCCACTATGTATTCCCATACTCCAAATGACAGTCATTTCAAGCATTCTTTGCTTAAAAAAATTATGTTCAAAATTGAGAATCAATCACTATAGGCATAAGGGAAGACAAACAACAAAAAGGAGATTTTCCCATGGAGAAGTATCAACTATGTATGCTGATAGGTAACCATATTTTATTGTTGTTACTAGTCTACAATGAGCATTTAGAAACTTTGTCCACTCCAAGCATACACAGTAAGCAAACTATCAATTGTTTGGATACTTCTGAATCCTCCTTTAGATTAAGAGTGGCATTTCCTTGTCTGAAAACCTACCTTATGCAAATTAGCTCTGAAAAGTAGTAGACACAGAAAGTGCTGTCACTTTTAGTAATAATGAAGGATGGCCCCAAATGAACCCCAACATTATTTCAAGTAACAAAGATCATCACTGTTGCAATAAGGGTATAGTCTCTTTAGTTAAATACAACTCATTCACATGTGAAACAAGACTATCATTTATTTTCAAAAAGTCACATGATGTTAGACATAATATATGTATGAAGTATCACATACTCCATCAACTGGAAGGAAGTTCAAAGAATGAAACTATGTGTTTTGATCATAAACAGAACTAAATTTCTAGTTGGGCAATAAGATAGTATATGTAAAACTATTAAATTTATGGTATTTTTAAATAAAAGTGATATTTATACATTGTTCTTTCAAATGACTTTTATTTGCCTACAGGCAACAGTAGTAGTTCCTAAGTTCCTATTACCCTCTCATAATGTTGGTTAAGCCTTGATTCAGTTCTAGAAAATAAGCAAGGATTTTTTTTTGTATTTTTTTTCCCAGATCTGTCTACTAGAAAGGAATTTCAGCGCCTGAAGATAAAACACGCACACACACACACATATACGTGTGTGTGTGTGTGTGTGTGTGTGTGTATTTAGATAGTGACAAATTTTCTTTACTGGCTTCTCAAAATTCTCATGCCCATGGAAGTTTCTATTTTAGTGCCCCCAAAATAAGTGGGTGAAAGATAATTACTGCAAAGAACAAATACCTTGGCAAGCATGAGGAAGAAGAGTACAAGTGAAGACAGCCACAAATACATTTTTAACATTTCTTGTAGGGGCAAACACTGAAACCAAAGCATTCTGATTATTTGACTGTAGGGTAATTCCTTGCCAACAACACATCTACCTCCAACACACATATAGATTTGTGGGGGGAAAAAGTCAAGAACTTCATATGAGGAAAAATAAAACATGACATCATAAATATGAGAACATTATCTTTGCCTTAACAAAAAAAGGCAGAGTTCCCTGAAGCATGGACAGTATTGGTAGAGCGCTTCTATTCTGTTATCAGGGGAGGGCGGGATGCAGCTTCTGGCCAGGCATACACATCTGGCAGCAGGGAATCATATTCACTTCGCCATATTCTTTCTCTGATATATTTGGCCTTGTCTTCAGGTTCTGGGTATCGGAAAGCCATTTTATTAGCATACAGGTATTCTGTAACCTGTTAAAAAAAAAAAAGGAAGATTACTGTGAAGGTCCTGTGTGTGATCCTATCAGAAAAGTATGTACCATTAGAACACATGCAAATGAACTTTGAACAACGGTATTTTTATCTCTCAAGACAAAAAAATACTATTTTGACTTATTTTAAGACATTTGAAAACTTTTAAGCTTAAAAGATAAAACAAAAATCAACTGCCGTCTCATACATTTAATGTGCTTTACTCACTTCCCCTGACCCAGAGAAGAACTATTAGCATTTCTTTGATACATATATTTCATGGATTTCAGTTCTACTGTAGGCCAGTCCAGCAGACGCTTGGGTGATTTGCCCAGCCTGCCCTTCTCCACAGCCCTACTGGAAAGGTAGTCTTGGGGGACTTCTGTGTATAGGGGACTCCACTACCTAGTCAGAACCACCTGATAGGGAGAAAACCTAACCTGCATTGAACCAGATGTTTTCATTCTAGGATTCAGATTTAGAATCAGGGAACATATTATGAATAAAAGATTGGAGGCTCAAGGCAAGGTGGCTTGAGTGGATTTCTGATCTCTTCAACAAAGTCATGAGTGTCTTAGTCTTACGTCAAATGAGAAGTATAAAAAGCTTCTTCCCAGGTAGTAGTTTCATATAGTTAAGTTCTCAAAAAGAAAAACCAGTTTTAATTTACTCCTTTGCTTCTAATTGTTACTATTCTTTCCTTTTCTTTCTTTTTTTTGGTTGGTTATAGGGCTTGAACTTCGGGCCTGAACACTATCCCTCAGCTCTTCAGCTCAAGGTGAGCGCTCTATCACTTGAGCTACAGCAGTCACTGCTGGTTTTTTGGGTGGTTTACTGGAGATAAGATTCTCACAGACCTTCTTGCTCCGGCTGGCTTTGAACTGTGATCCTCATATCTCAGCCTCTTGAGTGGCTAGGATTACAGGTGTGAGCCGCTGGTGCCCAGTTTGTTACTACTCTTAAAGTTCCTCTTCCTCCTCTTCTTTTTCTTCTTCTGGCTGTATAGAATTTGAACTCTATACTCCAGCTTGCTAAGCAGGCACTTTAGCCACACCCCCATCTTTTTGTATTATTTATTTTGAATAAACTCACTTTTTTGGGGCTTGAACTCTGGGCCTGGATACTGTCACTGAGCTCTTCAGCTCAAGGCTAGCACTCTACCACTTAAGCCACAGGGCCATTTCCAGTTTTCTGTTGCTTAATTGGAAATAAGTCTCACAGACTTTCCTGCCTGGTCTGGCTTTGAACTGTGATCCTCAGATCTCAGTCACCTGAGTAGCTAGGATTATAGGCATTGGCCACTGGTGCCTGCTTCACATTTTTTAATCTAGGTGGGTCCTAATATGCTTCTCAAGAGTTGAAATGGCAGGCACATACCACCATACCCAGCTTTTATTGGTTGAGATGGAGGGTCTCAAGGAAGTCTTGTACTGGTTGCTCTCTAACTGCTATCCTCCGGGTCTCTGCCTCCTATGTAGCTAGGATTACCACAAAGCTGCTCAGGAGGCTGAGATCTGAGGATCACGATTTGAAGCCAGCCTAGGCATGAAAATACAAGAGATTCTTATCTCCAATTAATCACCAGAAAACCCTTACTGGTGCTGTGGCTCAAGGTAGTAGAGCACTAGCTTTGAGTGAAAAAGCTTGGGGACAGTGTTCAGGCTGAATTCAAGTGCCATGACTAACCAAACAACAAACAAACAAACAAACAAATAAACAAAAAAACAGAGTCCAGGGAGAGTGCCCAGGCCCAGAGTTCAAGCTCCAGGACTAGCAAGAATAAATGAAAATTTAAAAAAATTAAAAAATATATAGTGATCTTCCCAAGCCATAAAGATGCCCAATTTAATAAAGCAAAATATTTAGATTTGTTGAAAGGTGGCATGTCTTTAACACAAGTCAGACAATGTTATGGGAAAAACAAATTAAGCTTTCTCATCACAATACTGAACTTTATACATCCTGAACACTTGTGTATTTTCCTGAATGTACTATTACTCAGTGTACTATGTACAAACAAATACTAAGGGTCTACTATAAAACTAAAATCTCAGGGTAGTATATTTCTTGGCAACAATCACAAGACCACTCTAAAAGGAGGAGAGAAGGCAGACTAGCAGAGGACTATGGGATGAGAACTACATGGTAGGAAATTCTTTGGGTTTTCTTTTGGCTTCTTACATTCCATACATTTAGAGCAGAGTCTCAAACATCAACAGAAACAAACAAAAGAAACCTCAACAAATGACTTTTCTTTTGATGTCATATGACAAAAAAGAAGTCAGCCTAACAGGACAGAAAACTTTTCTTTTCTTTTTTTTTTGCTGGAGAGAACAGTCTCATGGACTTTTCTGCCCAGACTGCCTTTGAACTTATCTTCAGATCTAAGTTCCTGAGTGGCTTAGATTAAAATTCGTAAGCTACTGACTAGCACCCGGTTTGATGTTCATGATTATGAAGTGACAAGCAAAAGAAAGGTTAATTAAAGATATACTGATATCTAACAGTATATTATAAATTAATACTATTTTTCCCTGTGGAAATATTTGATAACATTAAAGTATACCTTTTGTTCTTATAATTAGACTTTCTTTTTTGGGGGTGGGGGTTGGTGGGGTACTGGAACTGAACTGAGAGCCTGCACCATATCCCGTAACTAGAATTTAACTTAAAGAAAAACCGTTACAGGCATGGGGATGTAGCTAAGTGATAGAGCACCTGCTTAGCATGCAGTCCCTAGGTCTGATCACCAGCATTGTGATCAACGTTAAAAAACAGAGAAGTGGCCATGTGCTGGTGGCTCATGCCACCAGCTCCTCAGGAGACTGAGATCTAAGGATTGTGGTTTGAAGCCAGCCCAAGCACAAAAGTCTGTGAGATTCTTATCTCCAATTAACTACTCAAAAACTGGAGTGGAGCTCAGTATAACCCCTGCTTTCACTATATTTGATGTCAGTATAACTTGTGGAGGAGAGGGGGAAAAAGCAGTTGTTTAAGGATACAGGTGGACCTGATGCAACAACGAGAAGTATAAGTTGTCATGTCCCAAACGAGCTTTACAACGTCGGTCGG